ACAAAAAACAACCCTGGGGCCTATCCCTGCCTATGGACCAAAACAGACTCTGGCCAGCACTTTCTTAGAATTCTAGTTACATCCTTGACTGTCCACCCACAGGATGAGACGTGGGTCATTTTTTTTGCGGTTTCCAGATGAAGACTGAAGGATAGACAGCTCAGCCTTCCTGCCCTTCAAAGGCACATTACAGAAAGCCTCCTGAGGGTCCCCAGCAGTGACCCCTCATTAGCATGCTCTTCCTTCCCTCTCTGCACCCCCACTCCCACCCTGTGCCTCCTGGGATCCGCTTACGCCCAGTCATTGTCTCAGTCCTGCTTTGGGGTTGAGCAAGGGAATGGGAAATGGGAAATTGGGCGCCTTCCCATGCTCCAGCTCCGCCTCCTGTCCTGTGAGAAGACTGAACTGTAAGACCTTGGGAGCCTGGCCAGCCTCTCAAAGAAAACAGCTAGCAGTTTTGAGTTCATGAAGCTTGGGGAGGGGGGAGGATGAGGGGGAACCTATCCCTCACTCCTGCAGGCCCTGTTTTTCCATAAAACCTTGTGTTGGGAAAGTCTGAGTGGTGTGAAACAATAGCCCTGGCCATGGCATCCTATATAATAAAGAGGTAACATGCAAATCAGCCATCACACCCTCACACAAGATGGCTGCTCCCGTGTGGTCACAAGATGGCCAGCAGGGGAGGGCAGTTGTGGGCGATCAGGCCAGCAGGGGAGGGAAGTTGGGGGCAACCAGGCTGGCAGGGAAGGGAAGTTGCGGGCAACCAGGGCTACAGGGGAGGGGGGGCTGTTGGGGTGACTGGGCTGGCAGGGGATGGCAGTCGGGGTGACTGGACCAGCAGGGAGGGCAGTTGGTGGCAACCGGGCCAGCAGGGGAGCAGTTAGACGTTGATTGGGCTGGCAGGGGAGTGGTTAGGGGGTGATCAGGCTGGCAGGCAGAAGTGGTTAGGCGCAATCAGACAGGCAGGCAAGCAGTTGGGAGCCAGTAGTCCAGATTGGAGAGGGTGCAGGCTGGGCTGAGGAACATCACTCCTCACCCCTCACCCCCAGTGAACGAATTTCGTGCACTGGGCCTCTATATATAATTAACTCATATCTTTCTCAGCCAGTCCTCTGGTTATTTTTTGGAAATCTTACTCTCAGCACTTTGTGTAACAACTGTCATAGTGGGCAGGTTGGATTCCAGAGAAATTTCTATGGAGCTAAAGACTGGTGAAGAGGGTGGATGGGAGGCAGTGTGAAATGCAGTCTGAAGAACCCCACTTTGGAAAAGGAGCTCCCTGTGGTATGAGGAGACCACCACGTGAACTTTCTGGGGAGATCCAGAAAACACCAGCAGGACCACTTTCAGTCCTGGAAACAGTGACGTGGAAGTGCCACTGGCCAAATAAAGGAAACATTTTTAATGAGTCTTTTGAACACCTTGAATCTTCTTTTAGGAGACTCAGAGGCTGCTGTGGTCCCAGGACTTGTGGGACCAGGGCTGCCCCCAGCCCTGTGCCAGAGCAGCCTGTGGGAGGGGAGCATGGGGGGTTGGGGGGCGGGAGAATATGGCACACCTCTACATTCACATTGTCATCTTGGAATATGACAGCTTACAGAAAAGCCCAGTTCCTAGTCGATTGCATTTTAGTCAGATCTATAGCCATGTCATTTTAAGTTTGTCATTCGCCATCACTGTTTTGCTCTGATGCATTTGCAAAGAGTTCATCATCAAGACCCATGGAAAGGACTGGGACTTACTCTAAAATGGAGTTTTCTGAGAATAGACTTGCAGATCGGGGTTATGGAAAAACTGACATGTTCTGGGTAAAGAAGAATTGATCAGATAGGCCTGAATGAACTGAGGACAATTGTTGTTTTATGACTTTGTTAAAAAATATTGCTGGTTTTTTAATCAGTGCTTTGTTTTCCAGAGGTAAACACCCTTGTTTTTTCCTTAGAGCAGTTTGGGAAATTGTACCTTTGTAAGCAATACAAGGCATTTGTGTGTTTTCCCCTACCTGATCCCTCTAGAATTCTGAAACTCTTAATAAGTCGAGTATTACTTAATTGTCATGGCAGTATGGTTGTTTGTGCGCATTCAATGGACATCTGTGTGCTTTATCACAGGGTGCAGTTGAAAGCTGGTTTTATTGACCAAGACTTTGACTGGCTTGTCATGTGTGAGGGAGACATGTGTTAGACTCTGAATGTCACCAGGAAACTTGAAGGAATTTAAGAATCACTTTGATTCCAAACTGGAAGACTCACAGACAAGAGTATGTGATTACCAAAAGAAAAGGGATTGGGGGGGAGGGGTGGGGTAAAAGGGGTACAGGGGAAATGAATGGCAATAGAAGGACACTTGGCTTGGGGTAGTGTTCAGAGGGTGTGTTGTAGAATAGTGCACCTGGAACCTTTGTATGCGCTTGTAAGGAGAGGACGACAGTGGGGACTGGCAGGAGAAGCACCAGCGGGCTTTTGAGGAGGCAAAAGAGCAGGTAAACAGGTACAGGCGCTTGGTATCTACGATCCAGCCCTACCTGGCAATTGGATGCACATGGAACCCAGGAGGGGGTGTCTTGGGGTCTCAGGCAGCCACAGGGGAGACTCCGCTTCCCAAAAGGATTTTGGTCCCAGGTGTGGAAAGGGGCTGAAGAAAAGACACAGCCTAATAAACAGCTCTGTGCCACCTACCACCCCCTGCAAGCAGCAGCCTCTACCTGGAAGCTTTGCTGTAACGGTGCGGACCACCTATCCCATCTTGAGGTGGCTGCATGGCGTGTCTCACACCCTGAAATCAGGCGCAGCACAGACGCAGGCGATAATGAGATGGAGTGTTTTCCTGCAGCAGAGACATAACCCCCCATTCAATGCCTCCGACAGGAATGGCAGACGCATGGGGCCAGTCACCTTTGTGTCAAAAGGAGTTGCAGAAAAGACACTCAGGGAGAGCCTATTGGCCCTTCGCCAGTGAGAGCAGGTGCCGTTCCAGTGCCACCTGAAGCATGGCGTACTGATGCTCACTGCAAAAGGACAGCCCCCTAAGTGGCATGCTCAGGACTGGACTACCTGCAACAGACCCCTGTGGGGACCAACCATGTGGGCTGACATATGTGCCAACTAAGGAGGTGACCCTAAGTCGTGTCATAGGACATCAGCCATTCTATGTCCAGGGAATGATGAAGCAAATGCACCTGCTCCCGTCCGATGGCCAGAAGAGGCCGCCGCCGAAGACCTGGCTACACAGGAAAAGGACATGTGCCAGTCAAAACCCTGTGAGCAACTGCTAAAGCCTTGGGGCTCCCCTTGGAAACCACTGACATTACAGCTTGTCAAGGCTGTTCTGTGTGTGCGGAGCAGCATCCGTGCCCCCTGCTGGCAAGGACTGGGCGTTACATGCAAGACTGAGCTGAGAGCCACAACGTTGGACGGCGACTGCACCGCCCTTGCCATCCGGCAGGAGCTGGGCTGATAGGATGCTATAATGAACTCTTGAAAATGCCCTGAAAACCGGGGCACGGTCGTTACAAGGTGAAAGGCTGGACCACAGGACTCTGACTTGCTGCTAACCATGAATGAAAAGCCGCAACAAGATCAACCCGAAACAAGATCAACCCGCAACAAGATCAACCCGCAACAAGATCAGATGCAGCTGCAGAGGCCTGTGGTCCACCGAGAGGGCAGATGCGAACAACGGACGGGGTGTTAAGACAAGACCTTGCTGGGGAGCGGAGAAGAGCTGTTGCTGCCAGCACCCCAGGACATAACCCTGGAGCTAGTGTATTAGCCTGGCCCTGGGACACTCAAACTGGCACCCGCTGGTGCGCTCTCCTAGCCCCATGGGGGAGGGTCTTGCCCATAACTGGTAAGTGGCCGACTATTCCAGCTGGCAGATGTGTGGTCCTCCTCTCACAGCTAGCATTCCGGGCCAGGGGGCATCTCCAGTCAAAGAGATAGTGTAGGAGGCCAGGGAGACATCTGAATGAGCCACTGTTCTTACCCAGGATAGAGCGATGGCCTGGTAACGATTTGCTTCTGTTGGCGTCTGCTAAACATCTGCCTTACTCTCCTGAGTTCAGTGCAGGCTAACAGCTTGGCATGTTGGCTGAGGAGGGGGCTGCCAGGTCCAATGTTTCAGACTGTTGGGTGCCCCTCTCTGCTACTGCTGGGCTGCCTTGCAAACAAATCCAGTCAACCCGCCAGAATGGTCCTGTCTCAACATGATTTGGAAAGTTGTCTTGGGACTGGGGAATCTGCTCTATCCACTCTGATACTAGTATGTATAAGTCTGTTATTCCTTTACTGTATGTTACATATACGAATGGAGCGTTCCCTCCTCCCTCCCCAGGATACGTGCGGAAGATACAACGGGCAGATTGTACGGGAGTGGAGAGGGAAGGTACCCATGTTGGGATGTAAGGTAAAGGGGAAACATGGGCCCTCTCCCAGGCTCTGGCTCGCCCTGCCACCCTGTGGGAAGACATGAAGACGCATCAGTAAGAATTGTGAGACCTTGGGATCCTGGCCAGCTCCTCAGTCAAGAAAACGGCTAGCAGTTTTGATCCACAGCTTGCTCAAAAACGCATGCCCCTCCCTCAGCATGCCTGTTTGCCTGTTTTCTGTGCTGGGAAAGCCCAGGCAATGGTGATGGTGGAACAATAGCATCTGCCGGCCGCCCCCAGTGCAGCCCATCCACAGGCACGTTGGACTTGGCGGTTCTATTTCATGGTGGCAGAGGTCTGATGGTACCCTGCAGGTCAACCCCACTATTGTTTATATCAACCCTAATAAACTCATTTCTTTCAGAGCAACTCCTCTGGGTTACTTCTTTGGGGAGCCAAGAACCATACTCTGAGGTTTTGGGGGCCTTTGCTCTTTGCATAACACCAGCTAAGACCTGAATAGGACAGGTGCACAGTCATTTCTGGAGAAAGTGCCAAACGTGGGGGAGCAACCGAAGCTGGAATGGGCACCGGGTCATGGGGAGAAGAGGAAGGGGGTCTTTGTCCCACTCACCTGAGAGCAGGGGCAGACACCTGGCCCTCATAGCGCTGGGACACCAGGAACGACCGTCTGCTAAGCTCCAGTGGGGCGTGGCCAGGGTTCCTGGAATGAAGAAGGCCCTGGAGATCAGTTTCTGATGGTCACAGAGTTGAAGAGCCAGGGGGCTGATATTTGCCAAAACCCTTTAAGTTCTGCCCATCTTTGTTTTTTGTTTGTTTGTTTTTTTACAGAACAGGATTATATTTAATACACAAGTTTGATACAATCAAAAAATAAAACACCAGAGTAAAATACTAACAAAAAACATGGTATTTCATTTGCAATGCATGAGAAATGGTTAACATCTTTAGCCATAAATAAGCTCTTACAAACCAGTAACAGACACTATAATAATGCAAGGAAACTGGAAAAAATGAAAAAATACAAGTGATGATTAAGCATTGAGCATATATGATTTTAATGAGCAGTGTTGAATAATTTCTCTGCAGGATCAGTGAGCAGAGTAAAGACACTGACACCTAATATTGTACAGTTTTGAACAGTGTTGTGCAACTTGAATTCTCAAACACCAGGAGGCAGATTAATGAGAAGGATCTATAATGAGGGGGAAAGCTATGCTTTGAATCAGTATATAAATTGAGTGTTTTCAGCCAGAGCAATTCCAATGCATTGGAATCAGTTCAATAAGTTAATTGAATAAATTCAAAAGAAATGATATAAAGGGATGTTTAATGCAGAAAAAATGTGGCCAGTGTAAGTGCCTGAAACTACTTGCCTATCCATGTCTGAGCACCGCCAATTGGGTGTGCACTAACTCTATTAGTAATAAATTGTGGTGTAAAGAGATCAGTACTGTGATCTGTATATATGGGCCCTGGTGAGCACCAGAAATATTGAGGGGACACTTTACTTTTCAGTATATCTGAAACTAATACAAAATAATATTGAATTGTAAACTTAATTGGAAAATAAAAAGACATTGTATGGCATGGGGGGGGGAGGGTAAAATTAAAAAGAAAACAAAGGTACATAAATTAATAACTACATACTTAACTAATTTTTATGTCTAAAATAAAAAAAGATTATTTTTAATAAATACATTTTAAATCTATGATAATAAGCAAAATAGAAATATACAGGAGCCCTGGAGGAGGCCTCGCAGTGGAATGCCCAGGGTTTCGGTATTAAGGCCTCCAGCTTCCCACCTCCTGGACTCACTCCCACAGCCATAAGGACAGCGGTCAATATGTTGCTTACAGTCCCCCTCCCACCCCCCCACCCCCCCGTATGCCACCCACTAGATCACCTTGGACATGAGCTTTCTCACTCCTGTCAGATGGTCTGCCCATCTTTCAACTCAACAATTCCACGCCTAGGAAATCACCCCAAGGACAGGTTCCTGCAGGGCTGATCAGGGCAGCGTAGCTCACAGGAAACAGGCTCACAGAACAGCAGCCCCTGCTGGGACACCCAGCTGGAATTTAAAATCCTAGTCTGGGAAGCTGCACAGTACCCACTATCCAGTAAAAAAAACACGGCACATATATCAAAAGAGAGAGAAACATGCCGAAACAGGTTTGGCTCAGTGGATAGAGCATTGGTCTTCTGACTGGAAGGTCCCAGGTTCGATTCCGGTCAAGGGCATGTACTTTGGTTGCGGACACATCCCCGGAGGCAGCTGGTCGATGTTTCTCTCTCATCAATGTTTCAAGCTCTCTATCCTTCTCCCTTCCTTACTGTAAAAAATCAATAATATATATATTTTTTAAATAAAGAGATAGAAACATAACAAACTGCAGTGTCTTACTGGACCCCAAATCCAACAAACAATTTTTTTTTAAAAGGCTGGAGATGTAATGGCATTAAAAAATGATTGTGCATTTTCCATAGGTATAAGTTCCTTTCCAGTTTCCTCACCTGTCAACTCGGGTGACTGCTCCAAAGGAAGCTATAAGTATGATAACGGGTTTAAAGACAGATCTTTTGGAGATACACACTAAAAACTTGGCAGATGAAACAATGTGACACATAGAATTTATGTCAAGATATCTGGGGAGGTTTGGGGAGCAAGTGAAACCAAAGATGGGATGAAACTGGGCATTTTTTTAGAGCTGGGGGAAGAGTCTGTAGTTTTATTGACTATATTAGTATATGTTAACAATTTCTTTAATAAAAGGTAGAGAAGAGATTGTCTTAAAGGTGTGCTGTTAAGTAGATAGATAACCAGAGGCAGACATATGTATGCTAACATTTATACAATAGGGGCAACAATGAAGAAGATGCTAACATATGCATAAGAAAGGTGTATTTATGTAGTTCTAATGTATTTGCATAACAGGGAAACCATCTCTATTTTATACATATGTTATCTGTTCTCTACAATTTAAGTGTGTGTGCACTGGGCTATACACAGAGTCATACAGGCCAGCCTTTGCATTAACATAAGTGCCTCAAATGCACTTATATGTTTAATGGGTTGGTATTGGCATAAAATGTTCCTGGAAGTTGCCTGAGAAATTCATAACACCTGTTGCCTCTGAAACCTGAGAGGCTGGGAAACAGCATTCTCCAGAAGCCAGGAGAATTTCACATTCTGCCCTTTCAAAATTTCGATTTTGAACCAGGTGAAGGTATTTCATATTTTAAAAAAAAGGAAGTCACTCCCCCAACCCCATAACCTAGCATTTGTTGAAACTGAAAACTTGTGCATAAACTTTTATTTACGCCTAATTACCTAAATTGTAATAGTTGCATTCTGTCCATCCTAGTTATGTTATTCTAGAGGAGAGAATAATGGAAGTACTAGACATCTCTATGAATGAGCCTTTCAAAGAAGACTTTAAAACACAGTGTAGCAGAGTTTGCCATGAGAATATCATTTTTATATGTAAAAGGCGCTGTTATCAAGTCATGTTGACGGGCAGCTGAGTTTTAGGATAAAAGTCCCAGCGCACATTAGCAAAGGTAAGTGCTCTGTAAATCAGTTAAGTCACCCAAAAGTGATGCTAAACGCACCGATGGGAAAAATATAGCAAAAGAGTTTTAATTGGTTTCATTAAATGTCAGCGGAAAGGCAGCATTTAAATATGTGTAATGAAAATAATTCAGTATTATAAATAAAATAATGTAGGAGGCTATTAAAATAACATGAAAAGCCACCATGATGTTACAATAAAATCAGGAACTGGAGCAAAATATAGAATACCACATGTAAAGAATTTATAAATGTTAAAAAGAGACTGGCATTGTGAGTGATTTTAAATTTCTTCTGTTTAACTTCTGTAATTCCAAATTTTATATATTACTTTAGCAATAAGAAATTAATAATAGTGGAATATTTTAACAAGAGAAGAAACACAATGGCTTAAAATATGGCTACTTTGTCAGCTCCATCCCTTCTCTATTCCTGTTTTGACATGACCGTTCTGCTTTATCATTGAGTTTGGAGTCCTTCAGGGCCTCTCTGTGGATCAATTCTCTTATTAGGTGCTGGCAATGCCAAAGACAATCTGAGTTTATTTATTTTTTTATCCTCATCTGAGTATATATTTTTTATTAATTTTTAGAGTCAGAAGAAGAGAGAGGAAGGAGGTGAGAAAGAGACAGAGAGACATCATGTGAGAGAGAAACTCCAGTCCATTACCTCCCTTACTCGCCCTAACTAGGAATCATACTAGAAACCTATATGTATCTTGACCAGGAATCAAACCCACACCTTTTGATGTTAAGGGATGTTACTCCAACAAAGCCACCCAGCTAGGGCAACAGCCTGAGTTAGAATTGCAAATCTGTAGGGGCTGGTTCAGTGACTCGGAGGTAGTGACTTTGTCTCTGACCCTTAGTTTCCTCATCTGCAAAATGAAGCTTAGAAAAACATACTTCATAGTATCTTTACCCTGATTCAGTGCGATGACCTTGCATAGCATGTGGCACCTGTCTGGCACGTGACAAATGCTGAATAAAGTGAATTGTGGTGAGGACAGGATATGATGATGACAGTGGTGGCGATGGTGGTCATAGAGATAATGATAATAGTGATGAAGGCGATGATGGCGGTGATGGTGGAAGTGGTGGCTGTGGACAGCAAAGGGGCTCTGTAACAAACCTAATCAAATGTAAGCTCAGAGGGTGACCTGGTTGTAAATTCCTAAGTGGGCAGATCATGGTGGGTAGTCAAACCCCAGGCATGTAAAAGGTTTATCTTTGTTGTTAGCAAGCCCTTATCCCTTGTTTTTGTGCATTTGGGTTAGCACACCTTTAAAGCGCCTCTTTTTCAGTCCCCTGGGAAGTGTGACCACCCTCAAGGGAGCACATAATCTCATTAGCTAGCCTGTAATCCAAGTAATGTCCCTGCCTTGCTTTCTCCTATGTTCCTGTAATCATCCTTACGTTCCCTTCTGAAGTTCAAATATATAAAAGAAACCGCACACTATCTCTCTGGGAAGCGCTTTCCTCAGTCTTTGGAGATGTGGCTTCCAGACATGCCTTCTATTTGGCCCATATAAACTCATAAAAATTCTCCACAGGTTTAGACACTCTTATGTTGCCATGGTGATGATGGTACTGGTGAATGAAAATGGCGTACCTGGTCGTAGTGACAATGGAGGGAGTTGGTAATGACAGTAATGGTGGTGATGAGGGTGGGTGTGATAGGGATGGTGATGGTGGTGATAGTGACACTGACGGTCATGAAGCTCTCATGTCTCTTCCATGACCCCAGTTATAACCATGATCTTGGTTATGCTAAGGACCGACCCCATTACCCAGTGGTGATGTGAAGACCCACAGGAACAAAATAGTGGTCTGAGAAGACCCATCCTAGAAAAATCTCTTATTCCTGATGTTCCCCAAAAGGCTACTCATGGATTGTATTTCCAAACATGTAAATCAAGTTTTGTTGCCGATAGTTCTCTTAGCTCTTTCGTTATAACTTGAGAACATTTATGAAATGTCTATGACAGGCCAAGAGTTTATTAAGAGTGTTGATGCTATTGTTCTGGGCAGAAATAGAATATAGTTATGGCTAAGTTATAAGAAATATTAATCATGCTCTGTTAACCTTGATAGTTTTGTTCTAAGAAAAGAAAGTACATTCTA